AGTAACGAAGTGCTGTCTAAGTGCAGAGTCACCACCTAATCAGGTGAGTGCATAGTTACTTTCATCTTACACATAGATATGAAGTATTTTATATAAATTACGTGTTATGTGTGCATATTATTTGAATACTTGCTTTCTATGCTGGATGAAAGATTTTATACATGTTTTAAATAATTTAAACTGTATATGTATTTTATATCTACGAATATGTTGGGTAAAACATGGGTAGATGAATGATGAGAGATGAAAGATGATATGAGTGAACATAGGCAACTATAGACTTAGTGCCTAACAAATAACATCGACAACTATGGACTTAGTGCCTATCGAATAAACATTGATAGCTATGGACTTAGTACCTGTTAGATAAACATTGGTAGCTATGGACTTAGTACCTGTTAAATAAACGTTGGTAGCTATGGATTTAGTACCTATTAGCTGAACACTGGTAGCTATGGATTTAGTACCCGATAAATAAACTTTATCAGCTATGGAATTAGTGCTTTACGAACAAGCATTGGCAGCTGGACTTAGTCCCTATCATATAAACCCTGGAAGCAATGGGCTTCAAAATGAACGAATATAGGATAGATGATTCTTAGGGTAGATCCTTAAGAGTAAGGAAGATAATGGGGATGGGTAATTGGGTTGATTGTTTGATGTTTAATGTGACAACCCGAAAGATTTTTCGTTAAACATAACCCATGCCGTTAATAAAATTTATTTTATTTTGGGTTTTTCCGTTAACTTTCAAATTTGATAATTCATTTAGAATTATTATAATTTCCTATGTGTCGAAACGAAATATTTATTTGGGTGAAAACACTCTAAATAATCCTTTGAGAATTTCTAGACTACGATTAATACGGGTAAAATATTAAGCTCCGTTTAATGTCCGTATTGGGTGTATTCCCACCGGGTCACTAACTCTAGTCATACATAAAAGGGTGGAGTGACCATCATTTGAGCTTTTCCCACACTTGAACTTTCTCTCTCTACTCTCTCTCTAGAAATCGACTCTCTCAAGAAAATCTCCACATTCAAGCCCCAATTTGTTAAGTGATTCTTCCTAACTAGTTGTCTATCCTAACATGCATGCAAATCCATGTCTTAAACTCCCAATTGCATCACAAACTCGTGTTTACGGTTTGGGGGAGCCTCCCAAAACCGTAAACTCCTTCAATGGGGGTTTTGAAGCCCCAAGACCCTTCCAAACCTCTTCTAATGCTTAGATCCTTACATGCATGGAGTTAGAACCACAAGATCATGAGTTTTGGCCATAAACATGAGTTTACGGTCCTTGAATATTCAAGAACCGTAAACACCCTTTCAAGGGGTTTTGACGCTCCTTAACCCTCCCAATGCATGTCTAATGGCCTTGAAACTTGTTTGAATGATCTTAGAACCTTAAAACGTGTCCAAAGAAGTGTAAACATGAGTTTACGGTTTGGGAACGTCTCCCAAAACCGTAATCACCTTCCAAGGGTGTTTTAATGCTCCAAACACCTTGCATGGCTTGTATTTGAGTCTAGAACTTGCATGAATGGCCTACAAACCACCAAAGCACATGGAAAATGGACAAACATGGACAAGGGTGGTTTACGACCGTAAACCCATGAGTTTACGACCGTAAACTCCCCAAGGGTGGTTTACGGCCGTAAACCCATGAGTTTACGACCGTAAACTCCCCAAGGGTGGTCCAAGGACCATAAACCCAAATTCCTAGGCCATTTCATGTCCCGATCATTTCCTAAGCCCTCAAATCAACCCTAGATCCTTCCTATGTGCAAGATGAGACCTTGGATCACTCAAACCACCACACCCATGAGTTTACGGCCGTAAACTCATGGGGGATATGGTCTTTAAACCGTAAACTCCCCTAAGGGTTTACACTTGAAGAGTAAACACCTTATCTAGGTCCTACACTCCTTAGATGCAACCCGTACCATCCCTCACACTTGAATTGAAGTGTTTTCGTACCTCGGAGTGTATTATCCTACTATCTTGGTAAATCAAAGTCTAATTAGATACAATTATGTATCTCTTCATGTTACATAGGAACCTCACGCGTGTTCAAGCCCTAAACTAATACTTAGTAGCTAAATCGACACATTCTCGTCAGGTGAGTTCATACCCCTACACCATTTTCTGTGTTTTTCATGTTTTCAGGGGGGGAATACAAGCAAAAGTACAAGGAAACTTGTACTCAAATCTATTATTTCGTATAAATATACTACATGTTCAATATGTTTTAAACATCGAAAATCCGTTTTAACCAACCGTCTAACTCGTGGAGTTAGTTTTCAAAACCATTTGTGAAACTCATTATAAAATGTTACATTTTTACATTTCACAAGAATTTCATGTCAATTCATAAACCGGGATTTTCTATACTATTACTTGTAAGGTTCATTATTCTTGTGATTGGAGACACGTCCTCGGTAACACTCCACAACGGATACGAGAGTGGAGGACTACTCCCGTAACCAGAATCTCTTGGAGGGAGAGCGTGACTTGAGTGTATAGATCTATACGGGACTGACTACCCCGCACCCTGCTGCTAGCTACAGTTGGATCGTCAGGTCCATGGGTGACAAGAGTCATAAAACGACAATGGACTTCTTATTGCCATGTCTAGTCTATCGTATGGTTATGGAACTCGCAACTTAAATAATTAAATTTTACTGATAAAGTAATAACAAACCTAGTGAACTAACCTTCTAGTAATAACTGTCTTTAATTACTACCAGTTCACTACCTACTTATTAGTTTTGTGTACGTGTCAAAACTAATACGCTTACTACGGGATACAAGTCATTCAGTATGTTTCACTCAAACGATACAAGTATGGTAGATACTTGTACACATCATTTCAGAATCGATAACCAACGAATACTTTTACATAAGAAAACACAGGGTTTTCTTGGGACAACGAAACTTTTCATAAACAAGGTTGTATGGTACATCTAACGAGAAATCAAACCATATTTTCATAAGGAAATTTGCAGGATTTCCTTAATTCAAATTGTGTAACAAAGGGATAATCAAACTACTTTTATAAGAAAATACGGGATTTTCTTGGATATCAACTTTTCATGAAACTAAAGGAAACTGAATCTTTTCCAGAAAACAAACCGCTTATGAACTCACCAGCTTTATGCTGATATTTTAAAACTGCTTGTATTCTCAGGGCATCCATAGACAGGTACTCCTATTAACTTTTGAGAAGACGGAGCACACCGAAGACTCGTCTTTACTTTGATCTAACCAATGTATCTAAGAAAACTTGTAGCACTTTATTTTCAAACAAATGTAAAACTTTCTTATGTAATGTAATGGTTGTGTTTACTATGCTTGCTATGTACATTGGTTGTGATACTCTACATGACGTCACTCTGCCCCGGGACGTTTCCGCCATCGGTTTCGGGGTGTGACATTTAAACATAATAATTAAATTATTGTGGGTTGAAAACCCTATGGACTCACCAGGTTTCCCAACCTGACCCACTCAAGCTTATTTGTATCACAGGTGTCGATATGAAGCTACTTTACACTGAGGGATTAAAAAGAGATGTAGATTACTAGTGTAAATAAATGTAAGATCTGTTTATGCTTATGTTTCTGTATTGACGATGACATCCCAAATGTTTTAAAATGGATAAAAATACATTTCTTCGGAAGTGCTTTGATAACGTATTTATCATGTTTTTCTGGGAACAAATTCCACAACATTTTTATTAAAAGTGGTACTTTGATTTTTATAAAGCATAAACAAAATCGGTCTTTTCTGGCCGTGAAAATGGGGATGTCACATAAGCTTACCTTGTATTGTAGACATAGTACATAGGCATGAACTTGGGATGATTATGGGTATCACAATCTTGATTAGTTATACCCTAAGACAAAAAAGAGATGCTTATTTCAATTAAGTTTGGATAGTGGGTAACATCTTATCAAGGGTGTATGTCAGATAAGAACGGATAGTAGAACTTTTTTCGATTACATTGATGATTTGGTGGGGTATGTATTACATACAAAAGTACTATATTAGTATGCCCCCTCCTCTATAGACATCCAGAAATGGAATGTGTATATTGGGCAGCCAATAGGTGCCTGGATAACCAGTCTGTATCATACCAAAGGGTGACCAGTCATCTGGTGGAGTGAGACGCCGACAAATGATGAAACCTAGTCTTAGGGAATACACTTGACTTACAGTCTGGAAGTGTTAGTTAATTATATTGATTTAGGTTGTTTGGATTGTATGTTCACTTGATGCACTCCATCCTCCTCTCAGTTGCCTTTGTTTACTAGTACATGTTGTCAAGGCCACCCGAAGGAGTATAGTCAACTCGTTCCTTACAATGATTCATCATGATTGATCTCATAAGATCACTTTATTAGGACTAGTATGTGAGGATCGAAGGGATGGGTAATATAGGAAAATGTATTATAGATGTTTATGATGTGATGATGTGATGACAAATGGTTTTTTAGGTTTATTGATTATGGATTAATATCATAATAATATTATGGGGTTGAAAACCCTATGTATCTCACCAGATTTCCCAACCTAACCCACTTAGTTTATATGTATCACAGGTAGCGTTGTTAAGACTGTTGAAGACTTGAGCAGGATGTTGAGTGATTGAAGAGAAGACTTGTAATAGTATTCAGGGTCGTTAGTTCTTTATGTTGTAATGTATGTTGTGTATCGATTATGACATCGTTAGGTTTTAATTATTAGAGACAATCATTTGCATTCAAAAGATTTTAAGATGCTGGGATTTCTGCAAATAAAAGATAATATAATGCGTAAAGAAATTATTTTCGGTTCTGAAAATAGGGGATCTCACATTTACTTTGTTACCTTCTTCTTCATTATTAAATTGACCAAAAGCAGGTGTCAAAATTGGTTGTTAAAAGTCTGATGAATCATAACTGAAATTGAAATTTTCTGTGTTTAAATCTTCAATTGAAAACGATAATTTCCAATGTTT